TACAGACTCCCTCTTGTAACTGGTTAGTGACATTTTTTTGTTGAAGAATGGCTACTTTTAATCCATGATTGAATGAATAGTCAGGTTAAAATGTTCCCCTGAAGGATTGTGTATTACCATTTCTGATGTCTGATTTGTGTCTATTTATCCTTTGTCACAGAAACTGTCTGATTTTGCCAATATACATGGCAGAGAGGCATTGCTGGCATATATCACATTAGAGGATGTGCTATTGCATGAGCCGCTGATATTGTGGCTTATGTGGTTATATCCTGTGGTGTCGTTGCTTATATAGATGTGTGGACAGAGCTGGCAACCGAGTTTGATGCAGGTATAGGTTCTTGAGTGAGTGTATCTGGGCTGAAAATCTGGAAAGGATTTGCTTCAGGTTGGGGGGTTGTCTAGAGGCATGGATTGGCCCGTCTCTCAAGTCCTGTGAGAGCGAAGGATCATTTTCCAGAATAGGTTGTAGATTGTCAATGATGTGCTGGAGGCGTTTAAACTGTGGGCTGTAGGTGATGACAAGTGTAGTTGACTTCTGGGTATTTGTCTGGCTCTGCTAATCTGTTTCCTCATTTCCCCAAGTGGATATTTAAATTTTAAGAATGCCTAATAAAGATCTTGAAGCTGTTTGTCTCTGACTGTGAGATTTGGAGCAAATCTAGATGTATCTTAGGGCTTGGCTGTAAACAATGGATTGTGTGATGTGTCCTAGATGGAAGCTACAGGCATCGAGGTAAGAATAGCGGTCAGTAGGTTTATGTATCCATCATTTATTTGTATTGTAGCATCAAGAAAGTGGATTTCTTGTGTGGACTGGTCCAGTCTGAGATTGATGGTGGGATGAAAATTGTTGAAATCCCTGTGGAATTCTTCAAAATTCTCCTTCTCTTGGGTCCCTGTGATGAAGATGTCATCAATATAGCATAAGTAGAGGAAAGATGTTAGGGGACGAGAGCTGAGGAAATGTTGTTCGATGTCATCCATAAAAATGTTGGCATATTGTGGGGCCATATGGGTACCCATAGCAGCGCCACTGACTTGAAGATATAAATTGTCCCCACATTGGAAATAGTTGTGGGTGAGGACAAAGTCACATAGCTCATCCACCAGGTGTGCTGTGGCATCATCAGGGATAGTTCCTGGCAGCTTATAGTCCATGCTTGTGTGGAATATTGGGGTAAAGAGTGTCTACATCCATGGTGGCTCGGATGTTATTTTCAGGAAGATTACTAATGCTCTGTAGTTTCCTCGGGAAGTCAATAATGTTTTGAACATAGCTAGGAGCAATGGTGGTATAGGGTGTGAGGAGAGCTGAACAATCCTGCTGTAAGGTGTAAGATGATGGGACATCTGGGATTTCCAGGTTTATGGATCTTGAGTAGCAGATTGAATACTCCTGGTTGGGACTCTGGAAGTATGTTTGTATAGATTTGGTCATAAACTGAAACAGGGAGTCTCTTGAGCAGATGGTGTAATTTTCTTTGATATTCCTTAGTGGGATCAGAGGAAATAGGCTTGTAGAATGTGGTGTTGGTGAGTTGTCTGGCAGCCTCCTCTTTATAATCTGACTTATTCATGATAATTACAGCACCCCTTTTGTCAGCTTTTGATGATGTTAGGGCACATCTACACAGAAGCATTATTCCCAAATAATGGCCATTATTCCCAAATAACTCTGCGAGTGTCTACATAGCAAGCAGGAGTCTTATTCTAGATTCTGTAACCCTCATTCTACAAGGAATAAGCCCTATTCCAAAATAGCTATTTCAGAATGGGACATGTGTAGACAGGGCAGCAGGAGTTATTTAGAAATAAGTGGCCTCCAGGAAATCCCAAAGTTGCCTTGCTGGTCGCTCTGTCCACACTAATCAGAACTCTATAGCTTCCCTTTCCCTGCAGCCCTTAAAACTCCAGGCCAAAGGGAAAGGGCTTGTGGCATGAAGAAGGCCCTGCTTGCATTGTGCCACACAGCAAGACCCTGCACAGCCTTCTCTGCTGCCATGGCCGAGCCCACTGCTCCAGCCGAGCCCCCCATAGCTGCCAGCACTTTCCCAGGCAGCTCCCAGGATTCTGTCTGGATCCGAAAGAGGAGGGCACCATCCTAATCTGGTGTGGAGATTCTTGATCTCCTGAGATCTGGGGTGAGGAGGAGAACCAGTGGGATCTCCATACCAGATGCAGGAATGTGGACATTTATGGTAGATGGACAAAAGCCTTGGCCACGTGCACACCCAGGAGCAGATGCACATGAAGGCCAAAGAACTGCGCCAGGCCTACACAAAGCTCCTGGTTTGAGGCAGCACTCCAGACCTGCCCCTACTACAGCCAGCTCCACTGCATCCTGGGAGAGGGGAAGTCCCATCCCCTCCATTGTAGGGGTGTGGTGGTGGTGGAGGAAGAGCCAGAGGAGGCTAATACCATCTCCATGCCTGCCAGCCAGAACATCATGCTTACCCTGCAGCTGGTATCCCTCACCAAGGATATCTCCCAGGCATCATCCAAAGCCAGGGAAGACCCCTCAGATGAGTGCCATTATATTCCCTGGACCAGTGATCTTGAACCTTTTTAAGCACCAGATTCCTTTTTGAATTTGAATACAGTATCTACCTCAAACCCAAATACCCCTGCCCCACCTCTTCTCCAAGGCCCTGCTCCTGCCCCTGCCCCACCCCTTTGCTGAGGCTCCACCCTTCTCACTCTGTGAAGATGGGGTATAGGAGAAAAGGACAGAGTAACATCAGCGCCTCCCTGCCTCTGTCTTCCCAATCCTGCACAGCAAGCAGGAGGCTTCCAGGAGGTAGCTTTGAGGCTCTGGGTAGGAGCAGCAGGGCTGTACAGGGAAAGGCAGCTGAAGTACCAGCACTTGACAGCCTCCCAGCCACACCAGTCAGGATCACCTGTCAGAGGCTCCAAGATCTACCAGGAGATCCTGATCTACTCATTGGCGACCACTGCCTTAGACACACACGGGTGCAGATGGTGGGGAGTGAAGGGTTGCTGTGCGCTCCTCTCTTAGCCTTCTCGGCCTGGGGATCATACAGCAGCCTGTGCATGTGGGTGCACGTGGAGTGCCATTCCAGGGCACACAGCCCCAGGAGGCAGCAACAGAGGACCCTGTGCTCCAGCTCACAGGGTGTCTGAAGAGGCCTGCCTTACTGGGGTGAGACACCCTCCTACCACAAGCCACCACTAGAAGGAAGCTGGGGACATGGAGACACACACACACACACTCACTCAGGAGTGCCACATGGGCATGCCCACACTTTGGGGGAAGCATCCACTCCCAGGGACAGCACAGCAAGAAAGAGGAGCATCTGCCACTCACTCACCTCACCCTAAAACCTTGCCCCTCTCTCCTCTAGCAGCCAGGGATACAAGTTTTCTCCCTGTGGGATGTTGCCATTGCTGGACCCGGTGTGTGCGTGGTACAGAGGGACACCTAGCCGCCCTGTGCGCCCCCTCTCCCCCCACGCATGCAGGCTCCCAATCTGGCCGTCACCTTCCCAAGTATGCTTGTCCCCGGGACATGGCAGTAGTGAGGCTCCCCTGGGACATCCGTGCCCCTGCAGGAAAGGGCCGTCTGTCTAGGCCTCAGGTGGCCTTGCTTGAAGCACATCGCCTTTGTCTGACCCGAGCCCTTTTGGTCTCAGCTTAGAGATGTGGACTTTATTGTCTGTGCAGGGGAGGTGAGGTGAGGGGGGAGAGGTGTTGTGGGAGGAGAGGCAATGCAGAGGCCCCTTGTGGGGAGGTCCAGAGGAGAGGGTCACTGGTATCGTTGTGTGAAACTCTCCCTCAGGGACTCATGGATATGCACAGCCCCATAATGGGCCTACCGGATAGCAGCCATGTGCAGCTGCTCAAAGGCCCAGCCAATCCAGCTGCCCTCTGTCCCTGCTCCCATCCCGGCGGGGAAGAAGGGGGGGAGAATCCACCTCACTCAAACACAGAAGGAAAAAAAAACCTCACTCACAAACACAAGTTCAGCACACAGCAAGAAAGCCCCAAACACAACTCACACTGCAGACAGCCACTTCCCTCAAGAGTCCTATATCTGCTTCTCCTTTACCTGGAGAACTCCCTCTCTAAAGTCCCTGTTAGCACTCACCTGTTTACAAGCTCCTTAGTCACTTGCTCACTGCTTTATAAAGCCCTGGACTGCCTGAAAGTCCTTCCCCCTACCAAGACTCAGCCAATCAGCAGACATAAACTGTGGATGTTTTAAAAGAGAAAATTCTGGTCAAAGTAGCAATTAGAATTCCTGTTTTAGCAATTTACATGTTATAAATGTACTTTACCACTAAGTTCTTGGGACCTGTTAAAGGCAGCCAAAATTGTCCTTATTATGCAACTGTCATAATGTTTTGAATACTCTGCTTGGATTTCTTTTGATACATAATGTTCAAATTTACTTTCATGCTCCATAATAGGAAACAGGAGGGGAACCTGCTGGAAACACATATCCTATTAAATTATTAAGCTTCAGTCCTCATAATGTTTGGAGTATTTTTCCAGAATTTCAGAATCTTTCATCTTTCATATTGTTGCAGTCTCAATTTATTTGAAGAGATTATGTAAAAGAATATAGAAATAACTTTAGGTGCAAGTTCCCTTGTAAAGTCTACATCAGAATTTGGAGTCATATTTTCTTTCCATATACATCCACAAGTCCTTTTGCCACCAGTGTTTGATCAATACACCTAGGAAGACCAGAATACCAGATTCAAGGGAGGAGATCCTCAGCTGGTGTAAATTGTCATAATTCCACTGAAATCTATGAAACATGATTATCTACACCAGCTGATGATCAGACCTGAGACTTGGTATGTAGCTTTCTTTGTTTTGAAGAGTATCATTGCATACTATTGAACACAGATACTTTCATTTGTACTATTTATTTTTTATGTTTTTTTCGTGAAAACTTTGGCTATGTTAAACTATTTTTGATGCTTTAAAAATAGTATTATTGCTGTTTAATGCTTTTTTCATGTTTTCTTTAGTTTTGTCAGCCTGGAGGATGGCAGTTGTCTAGAGAGAGAAAGCAGCCTACGTTCTTTGTGGTGGTTTTGACTGACATAGACTCAGAACGGCACTACTGTTCATGCTTAACTTTCTATGAAGCAGAGATCAATCTGCAGGTAATCTCTTGGAACCAAAAATAATGAGTATGAAAGAGGCATTTTGAAAACAATAAACAATAGAGATAGTTTGAAAACAATAAATATTCATAATAGAGTGTTTGTTTAATTCAAAAGACAACTCAAACTTCTTTGGGATCCCTTTGTTTTTACCCTTTACTATGTTAAAAAAATTCTTAAAAGAATTAGAAGAAAAGTGTTTACACCATATTTTTTTCTGTCTAGCAATTATTTTTCGCATTTATTTTTTATGCAGGGCAAACCAGATGGTGGTGGTTTACTTCTTTGTGATTATGTCAACTCTGCTCCATGGAGTTGGTTAACTTTTACTCCCTCTGCTGGCTGTGTCTTTCAGATTAAAAACAAAATATTGTAATTCTATATGTTGTTTTAAATCTTAAATGTTGTGTAACTGTGTACTCTAGATACCGTTTCACAGTTGTACTCATTTGTTTAATTACATTAATTAGCAAAACTAATGGAGCAATAAAGTTTTAGAAGTGAAAGTCTATATTATACTTTTTTTAGGTAAGTCAGTTTTTGGGTAGTAACTATTCAACAGTGATCCTTTTTTTAAAAAGTCTTATTAATTTTTGAACAGTTTTAGTTCAAAAGGCACATTATTTCCCATTTGGTGTAAATTACTTAAAATATTCTACAGTGACATTTCATTATGAATCCTTAGTAGGAAGAAACCAAGAACAAACTTTATGCAATTCATAATCATGAAATGTATTTCTTACTGAAAATTTTAATTCCAACATATAATATCACTTTGTATAATCACAAGTAAATTTTGACATTGAGTTTGTGACTAGTGTGTTTCTAAAATTACCTATCTAATACACTGTGATCCATAATTGTTTGTTCCTTAATAAAAAGAGAGAGATTTATTTGAAAAAATGCTATTTCACAATTAGCTTTTTAAAATATATTGTTTGTATGTTTTCCACATTCTTGGATTTGAAATATTACTGTACACTGCTACTGACAAGTTCACTGAATAATTGCTGAATAGCTGAAAATGTATGTTGTACCTTTTAGAAACAATTAGAATTTTAAGAGTAGCAGGAATAATCTTGGGTGCACTCAATTTCTTTTAAATGTACAGTATTTTAACATGAGTTTCTGGGAAATAAAATAATGGAATTGAATTGTAGAAATGTAGTAAAAAATTGGATAGACTTTGTTTCTGTACTGTTCATTGAAGATCAACTGATATTTTCATAGATTAAACTAAGAAAATTCTTTGTTTTAAAGTGAGGAAAGAGATTTTCTGTGGAAATTCATCCATGTCTGATTAAAGCTTACACACACACATTCTTCTTCATCATTGTGCATTTTATATTCTCTATACTAATTCTGATTAGGTTATTATTGAGGCTGCAGTTTCCAGCAGTTGCTTTTAAATAATTAATTTATTGCAAGAAATACTCATTAAAGAATTTGGTCCCATATTAACAAAAATCATTTTTTTTATTTTTAATATTGCCTAATAATTAGACACACACAAAAAGTAGCAGGGTTTTGGGTCTATAAAATGTCATTCTTGCCCATCTTCAGAAGGTACATATTTTTCAGATGAGCTTGCTTTGGTGAAGCTTGTTCCATGACTGCATTGTTTATAGCCAAACTTCCTGTTTCTTTATGAAGCCTAAAGATAAGTGGACGTGCCATGTTACAAGGTCATTAGACAAGAATTTAACACACATACAACTCTAATGAAAGATAATCTTGTTGAAGCACTGAAGTTTAATAAAAATGGTATGCCTCATTAAACAAACTAAACTTTGAGCCTCTGTGTCCAGGACCTAAATGTTAAGCAATAAAATCCTGGACAATAATTTTTAGTCTTGAGAACAGTGTAGATTTGTATTTACTATTCTAACTCAGGAAAAAGCTTTTAAAAGGATTGAGTTTCCAAAATAGTTACAGGCAGTCCCCGGGTTACGTACAAGATAGGGACTGTAGGTTTGTTCTTAAGTTGAATCTGTATGTAAGAACTGGCGTCCAGATTCAGCCTGTTGGAACTGATCAGCGGCTGATTCCAGGAAGCCCGGGGCAGAGCAACTCTGCCTCGGGCTTTCTGTAGTCAGCCGCTGGTCAGTTTCAGCAGTGGCTGGGTCTGGATGCCAGTTCTGACTTACATACCATTTTCACTTAGGGGCTGT